CTGATGCGGCACATGTAGAAAGTTCTGACTTTTTGTCTTCCAAAATCCTTCAGTCCAGTCCAGTGGCCTCACATGTCAGTCAGATGTGACCAGAGCCCAAGGGAAGGTCATTTTAGCCTCAGATGTTCCTCATCTGAGCCCTGCAGTACATAGGGTAAGCACATTGCAGAGTTTCTAAAAAAATCATAGTTGTAAAAGTCTTGGCAAAGATGCATCCTTTGGTATAGCTTGGGACTCCATCTTTATATAAGCATACATTTAGAAAGAATATTTTAAAAGGTCTACCAAAGCCCATCTGCCACATGTCTTCCCCTCCCTGGTCCCTGTAGGAATAGGGGCTTCCCCACAGTTCTGTATAGTCCAGAAGAGGCCTTGCCCAGGAGGTTGGTTTCTTGACCGGGCCTCTTAGGAAGTAGCTGGTGGATGTGATTCAGAGAAGAGGGGCTGTGAGCCTTTGTACAGTGTGTGAATGCCTGGGTTGCCTGAGGAACAGCACAGCTTGGAGGGGCTGTGGCCAGATGCCTGACAGCTGTCCTGGGCTAATTTGGGCCAAAGGGAGTACTGCGAAGTCCTAAAGGGGGAGTTCTGGGGGCTTGAGTAAAGCTGGTGATGGAATGCCTGGCCTTGTGCCTTGAGGCCCTCTGCCTCCCACCCTGGGTGAATCATGACCCTGGATTCTCCTTTTGGTGGCAAGATAGCCCAGCCACTGATGCTGGCTAGCAGTGTGTGGCTGCTTCTGCCCATTCCCCCTGCTTGGCAGTAGGAGCCCCTACCTGAATTTCAACCCCAGCCCCAATCCAGCCTGTTCCTTCCTGAATGCTGACACCCCCATTTAGTTCAGTGTAGGTCTTCTGTCTTTCTTACACCTCAGTGTGCAAATCTCTGTGGCCAGAAGCTTGATGGGTCTACATAAGTCGCCAGTGCCAGTTCGCACATGTCATGGATGAATTGGATTCAGAGGATGGGCAGGTGTCCAACCTCTGCCTTCCCCAGGAAGTACCTCCAATATGAGGTCAGCAGCTCCTGGGAAGATGGGTGGCTCAGCATTCCCACTCACTGTTCTTTTTTGGCAGCAGTGACAGCTTGGGTACCTGCCCAGGGCCTGGTCATGGGAGGGTATGATTTTTATGTTAGGTGAGTGGGAGATGTGATTTAAAGCTGGCCCTTCTAGCGGAGCCCCTGAAATTCTGCTGTTCCGTTTGGCTTCTTATGTTGCTGATAGCATCTGGGGTAGATTCTCTGAGTCCTTCTATTGCACTCCATCCAATCACAGGGCTCAATTCCTTTCTTATTTTTAACTTTTGAGACATTCTACAGAAAAAAAGGAACCAAGGGCAATTTCTTTAATTGACCTGTGCCCAGAAGCCTCCAACTTCAGACCTTAAATAAATAAATGACTGCAGTTGGTTCCATCTTTTTTTTTTTTTTTTGGTTTTTTTGTGACCGGTTCTCCCTGTAGCCCCAGCTGTCCTGGAACTCACTATGTAGACCAGGCCAGCCTTGAACTCACAGAGATCCACCTGCCTCTGCCTCCCGAGTGCTGGGATTAAAGGTGTGGGCTGCCAGGCCAGGTGGATCCCATCTTTTATCCATTAATAATCAATCATTAGCAACCACAGCAGAAGCATCTAGGCATGAAGTCCTTTTAAACAGCTTTAAAAGTCCTTCCCATTTTCCCACTGTCCTATGTGCTCTTCATTGTACAGATGAGGAAAGTAACATTCAGAGGGTAATGTGGTTCAGAGAGGGACATGGTGGGATTCGGGCCTGGAGGTTTGTAAGGGAATTCTGTGTCCCAGACTCCTCTCTCCCCCTCAGAGTAGTGCACCCTAGACCAGGACTCCTGTTGGTGTCCCCTCCCAGACGACCTTGGTGCATGTTTCCATCTTGGCTTCCGGTCCCCCTTTTCTCTGCCCTGACTCCATAATGGCTCTGCTTTGCAGAAAGAGTGGCAAGAGGCCAGGCTCACAGGGAACTCGCAAGCTGGCATGTCCTTATAAGGAAAGCAGATGAAGTCCAGGTGTCTGGCCTTTGATCACTGTGCTGAGCACTCATGGGATGTGACTGTTTCTTTGTCCAGAGGCACTGTGAGAAGCCCTCCACTGTGAGAATTTGGCTGTCTGCTCTGTGGTAGCTGGGGAGTGGGCACTGGGTCCTGAAGGTTGGGACCACAACATCCTCCTCCAAAAGTGACAGGACCTCAGTATCCTCTTCCTGGAGGGGTACAACCATAGCATCCTCCTCCTGAAGGGACAGGACCCTAGCATCTTCTTCCAGCCTACTGGACCTGACTTGAAGGCAGTGACCAGAGCCAACTCACCTTTTTAGTCAGAACCTCTAGATTCCAGGAGAGTCTAACATTTTGGCTTTTCTGAGCTACATTGTGAAAGAAGAACAGTCTTGGGCTACATGTTAAATTTCAAGAATGTCTAGCCCATGGCCTGTGGGTTGCAAGAGCACACATTTATTTATTGTGTGTGATATTGTGACATGATGTCATCATCTACAGAGTTCACAATCAAGGGATAAGAAAAAGAATCACAAAAAAATCTCATAATGAAGCTGGGTGTGGTGGTGCATGCCTTTAATCCCAGCACTTGGGAGGCAGAGGCAGGTAGATCTCAGTGAGTTCAAGGCTAGCCTACTCTGTAATAGTAAGTTCCAGGACAGCTAGGGCTACATAGTGAAACCTGGTCTCAAAAAAAAGTCTCATAATATTTTTAGAAGGTTTACGACTTTATGTTGGCTGCATTTACAGCTGTCCTGGGTCTCATGCAGCCTCCAGTCTGGATGCTGCTTCAAGCATTACCCAGCTGGTCTTTATGCTGGGGAAAGAAAATAGATGTGGTCAGGATCTCAGAGCAGGAGAGCATCATGTGATAACATGGTCCTGGACCTCTAGGCTGCAAGGCAGGTGAGCAGAAGGCAGAGAGGATGACTGTTAAGTGCTCAGAGCAGGTGAATCTAGGATTATGCCTGGGCCCCAGCAGGTCTTAACACCTCCCACTGACATAGGTCCCCCTGGCTCTGCAGCACAAGGCCAGGCATTTCCAGGACCCTGAGGAAGACAGTCCCAGCCTAGGGCGTGTATATTATATAATGTAAGTTATTTGTTCTATGGCAGAACTGAGACACCCCATCTCACAGTATACTTGAACCTACCAGAAATTTACACACCAGCAGAGGAAGGCAGCTCCATCACACAGGTGGCATGGTGTGGGGTAGGCCAGCATGAAAATCTACATATCTGCTGGCCTTCTTGGCCCAAGGGCAATACTTTGGAGCAAGTCAGTGATAGACATAGCAATATGACCATGAAGCTTCCAGAAACTGGGCCATTTTCACTTTAAAGCATTTCGTCAGTATTTCTTAAATTTATCTTCTTATCCATCTAAATAGAAACACACGTGCGCGCGCGTGCGTACACACACACACACACACACACACACTTAATTCAGTCATTTGACTTTTCTTATTTTCCTTTCTCCTCTCTATTCTTTTATTATTTATGTTTTAAGGATGAGATTTCCCTACTTTGATTTCTAAAAACTCTCTTTTGCAGGAATTTTTTAACTGGCTATTTTTTTTAGCTTGCTTCCTTTCCAAGGGGCATACCAACCAATTAGATCTGTTGCCATTAAACTTGGTTGTGCATCAACCCCCGCCCGGCCTGTTCCATGTTGCTAGCTCCCCCTACAAGGGCTTGGAAATTTGCTTGTCCTTGAGGGTCTGAGGATCTGCTCTGCCCTGGGGAGGCCACTCTGAGAACCCCTCAGGCTTCCCAGCCGCTCTCCCTTCCCGTGAGTGCTGCAGACTTGTTCCCAGCATCTCTGTTCTCCTCAGTTCTGGTGTCCAGATCCTGCCGCTCTGACCTCGGGGGAAGACCCCTTGGAGTTAAGCTCTTGAGTTTTGGGGGGAGTTTAGGAAATTTTTACAGGAGACAGAAAACGAGTGGCTTTCTCCCAGTACCTGCAGGTATTGCTCTTCCATCACAGGGTTGCTGCCAGAGAGGAATTCTTGGTTTTATTTCTGTTTCCTCCTGGGTTTCTAGAGCCACCTGGGCTCATCTATTGTCAGGAACCATCTACAGTCATCAGATTTAAAGCCAAGGAAGGAAGCCTAGATTTTTTTTTTCGGCGGGGGGTTCCTTTGGCTTGAAGGTAACCAGGAGTCAGATGTTTTTCTTCATGGCATTTATTTTTACTTAAAAAATGTTTTTATTTTATGGATGAGTGTTTGTCTACATGTATGTAAGTAAGTGTACCACATGTGCAATGCCTGCAGAGGTCAGGAAAGGGTGTCAGGACTTACAGATGGTTGCTACCCTTCATGTTTGTGCTGAGAATTGAACTCAAGTCTTCTACAAGAACAGCAAGGGCTCTTAACTGCTGAACCATTTCTCCAGCCCCAGTTTTGTTTATTTTTATGACCTTAGAGCCTGGTATGTTACCTGGCATATTGTTAATAGCAGCTGCCATTTATTGAGCACTTACTGTGTAGCCGGCACTCTTTAATACTTGCTGGCTTCCAGCAGGTTGGAAAGCCTCACTATCTCCAGGTGTGGGAACATTGGGGAGATATGTTGACTAGTTACAGTGATTGGCACTGGCTGAGCTATGCTAACTGGGACTGGCAGCTCCTGGCTACCCCTGTATTCTTCCTCATCTGAGAAACAGGCATTCGATATTTTCTGGGTCAGGAATGATGGAGCAGGTGGCCTTGATCTGTGCAGTGCCTGCTGAGGGAAGGAGGCCTGCAGTGTCCCGGGAAGCTTGGAGTAGAACAAGGATGAGGACAATTGCAGGGCTTAGATTGGAGAGTGGGTCCTGAGCAAGGCTGATGGAGGAAGACACACTATACCTCCTTGGTACCCCATTTTGCCGTCTAGCCTGTAGTACCTGGGATGGTAGTTGTTGGGGCAACCACAGCTGAGTCAGGGACATCTGGGATGGCCCCCACAGTGATGCCCTGTCCTCCTTCCCTCCCACCCACTCCCACAGCCTCGGCCTTCATCATCGCCATGCTCCTGGCCAGCCTCAACAGCTGCTGCAACCCCTGGATCTACATGCTCTTCACCGGCCACCTCTTTCACGAACTTGTGCAGCGATTTCTCTGCTGCTCCACCTCCTACTTGAAGGGCAGCCGGCAGGGAGAGACCAGTGTCAGCAAGAAGAGCAACTCGTCCACCTTTGTCCTGAGTCGCCGCAGCTCCAGCCAGAGGAGTTGCTCCCAGCCATCCACAGTGTGAGTCATTGGCCCAGCCCGGCCCATGGCCACCTGAGGCTGGGGTTGTGCACACTCCTCAGGCAGGGCAGTCTGCCCCTTGGTGGTTGTGCACAGAGCTGTATAAAGTGCCTATTGGTACATATCCCTCCACTCCTTTGGGTGACTAGAGTATGGGGCACATTCTGACTTGGGGCAGGGAAATGTCTCTTTGGTAGATAATGGGATCATTCAGCCATCAGAGGGTTGCCTGTTCCTCCCCTGGGTGCCTACCTGTGTATCCCTGACCCAGATCCATATGCTCCTCCTGTGCAGTGGGTGGCCTTCCCTGGACCTGACTTTCACTCCCTTATCTTTTTACTCCTTTATCATGGGATCTTGTGAAAGATAGTAAGTCTAGAATTGATGACTATTTAGGTGAGGAACACCAGTGGGATGGGCTTGGGAAAAGGAATGGGAAATGAGGCCGCAGATGGGGATGGTGGTGCTAATTTCCTCTGATCCAAGAGGGCATTTGCCTTTGAGTGGACAGATCATGGCATCCTTCAGGACTAGCTTGTCCCATTGTAGCCCTGGGAGCAGGAGGTTGACCTATGAGGCCATCAGGCTTAGGACAATGAAAACATGGGTTGAAAAGTAAATGAATCTAATGTTTAATGATCATATGAGAAAGAAAAATGAGGCATTCGGACTAGACAGAATGAAGGAAAGCTGTTTGTAGATGACACTGGCTCATGCATAGGAAATCCTAAGGAACACATGTGTGCACATGTGTACACACGGCACAAGTATACATGTACACACATGTGCATGTATACACACACATACACACACAGAATTCATACATGAATTTAATAAGTTTTCAGATTGCAAGACCAATGTATAAAACCCATTCATATGTCTTTATACTGCTAGTAACTAATCTGAAAGTGAACTTGAGTGATTCCATTTATGAAAGTGCCAGAAAGGGGCTGGAGAGAAATGGCTCAGTGGTTAAGAGTACTGGCTGCTCTTAGAGAGGACTCAGGTTTGATTTCCAGTGCCTCCATTGTGGCTAACAACCATTAGTAATGCCAGTTCCAGGGAATCTGAAACCCTTTTCTGGCTTCCGCAGGCACTGTATGCATGTGGTACACTCACATGAAGCAAAACACTCATACATGTAAAATTAAAATAAATCTCTTTTTTTGAATGGCACTTGAAAGAATAAAATAGGAATAGATTTAACAGTGGAAGTTGGGACTTGTACCCTGAAAGCTACAAAAACCCCACTGAAGGAAATTAAGGACTTAAACAAACAGAAAGAACCCTGTGCTTATTGATCAGAGATGGGATGCTGTGAAGTTCAACGTAATCCTTACTAAATCCCAGCTGGCTTCTGCAAAAATTGATAGGTTGATCCTCAAATTCCTAAGGGAAGGTAAGTAACCCAGAATAGCCAAAAAGAGAAACAAAGTTGGCAGAGTCACTCTTCCTGGTCTCAACAGTTACCTTAAAGCTACAGTGATCAAAACAGTGTGGTCCTTGCTTATCAATGGACTTAGGAAAGAATGGAACAAAATAAAGAGAACAGGAAGGAGCCCTCTCACTTCTGTTCAGCTAATTTTCAACAAGGGTACCAAGACAATTTGGTAGGGAAAGATTCATTTTTAAGCAAATGGTGCTGAAAATGAACATAGAAATGACTGACACTGGAGCATTGATGACTTCACACCAAAAAAACAACTCGAAGTGTATGCAAGACCTACACGTGAGAGCCAAAACTACAAAACTCTGAGAAGAAAATGTATGTACATCTTTGTGATGTTGGATTAGGCCAAAGTCTCGTAGACAGAATGCCAAAGCAAACAGATAAGTGGAACTTCATCAAAACTAAAACTTCTGTGATTCAAAGAACAGCACAGAGTGAAAAGACAGCCCACAACAGGATGGAAGAAAATATTTGTAAATTATATGTCTCATAAAGGACTCATACAGAATCTATAAAGAACTCATACAACAATAAACTAAAAGACTAAGAAAAAGAAGAAGTCAATTTAAAAACACAGGCTGGTGAGATGGCTCAGCAGGTAAAATGCTGTCAAGCCTGACGACCTCAGTTTGATCTTTGGTGCATGATGAAGAGAGAGAACTAATACCTGTAATGGACCTCTCACATTCACACCTGTGCTGTATGTAGCATACTCCTGTACATACACACATACACACACACACACACACACACACACACTAAATAAATAAATGTAGTAAAATTAAAAAGTAAATAAAAAATAAGCAAGAGTTTTGAACGTACATTTCTGCAAAGAAGATACACAAGTGGCCAATAAGCACGTGACAAGATGTGCAGCATTGTTGGACATTAAGGGAGTGTCATCAGAACCACCATGAGCACCCACTCACCCACTAGCAGGGCTGTAGTGGAAGGGGCTGACAGTAACAGGAGTTGTATAGAAACTGAATCCCTCAGATGCTACTGGTGGTGGAACCATTGTGGAAACCACTTTGGCAGTTCCCCCAAAAGTTAAGTATAGGGTTGTCTTAGGATCTAGAAACCTTATTCTTGGATATTTACCCAAGAGAAACAAAGACATATGTCCACTCTAAAACTTGTACTCCAGTGTTCCTAATATCATGACTTATAGCCCTAAAGTGGAAATGCCCAAATATCTATTAACTGATGAATAGGTAAAATAACATGTAGTATATCTGCGCAATGAAACATTACTTAGCTATGAAAAAGAAATGAAATAGTGATTCATGCTGCAACAAAGATGAACTTCGCAAATATTATGCTAAGTGAAATAAGCTACTTGAAAAAAAGCCACATATGTCCATGAAATATCTGGAATAAGGTAATCTGCAGACATGAGAATAGATTAGTAGTTGCTAAGGGTTAGGGGCTATGGCAAGAAATGAGAGGCGACTTCTTAGGGCATGTGGTTAAAAATGCTCTGGGATTTGTGATAGGAGCACACAATTTTGAGAGCATTTTAAGAACCAGTGACCCAGGGGCAGAGGTGGGAGCTCTGTGGGTGAAGTGTCTGCTGTGCGAGCATGAAGACGTGAGTTCAGATTCCCAGCACTTCTGCAGAAGCCAGGCCTAGAGGCACGTGTCTGCAGCCCGGGATAGGTTGATCCCAGGGACTTGCCAGCAACCCAGCCTAGCCAATTGGCTGGCTCCAGGTTCAATGAGAGACTCTATCTCAAAAAATAAGGTAGAGCCAGGTGTGGTGGCACACACCTTTAATTCCAGCACTTGGGAGGCAGAGGCAGAGGCAGGCGGATCTCTGTGAGTTCAAGGCCAGCCTGGTCTACATAGTGAGTTCCAGGACAGCTGGGGCTACAGGGAGACCCTGTCTCAAAAAGACCAAAAAAAAATAAGGTAGAGAGGGATGGAGAAGACACCTGAAGTTTTCCTCTGGTCTCCTGCATCACACATGTACACATACTCCCCCAATCCCCACTGAACTGTACCCTTAAAAATAAAAAACAATGTCCAAAAGCTAAATTCTGGGAAAACCAAAATGCCTGATGAATTTTTCAGAAGCTCTCACCTCTCTGAGTGTTGGTTTCTCCTGTGACTCCCACTTTGAGTGTCTGCAAGGGAGGCCAGCTCCATTCTGGTCAACAGGGACAGTGTTCACCGTCACCTGGCTTTCATAAAGGCCTATTTAGAACAGCAATTCTCCAAGAGTTTAGGAGGTTTTGCTTATAAGTATGTTCTCAAATGACTTCTCAGCCCTGAGAGGTAGATATGACTATGTCCAGAGCTATCTTCAGTCATTAAATACAGGGCACAGTTCACAGGAGATTTTCTCTTGGAGTCTGGCCAGGTACATGTGCTCTGGAATACCTTTTGAATACCCAGACTCAGTTATGAACTTACTGCTATATAAAGGGTACTTCTGAAAAGTCACACATCTGCAGATCTCTCCACTCTCTGTGTGAACACACATTCTTCTACCCCACTACAGCATGCACCCATATCCACATGCACATACACATATGAATATTGGCAGTATGGTCTGATGTTCCAGGAGGAGGAGACATGTGCTGCAGTGCCCATGTTCAATAGTCACAATTTAGGGCAAGCTCTTTAGCACGACCTGGAGACAGAAGGCAACATGGTCTTTGGACTCAGGCATTGCACATGGTGCTGTGCCACACATGCAGTGTCACCACCAGCCAGTCTCTGTGTTTTAAGAAGCTGGCAGGATGTTGCTTTGGGGGTATCTGTGCCCATGTGCTAGCCCACTGAGGTGCTCTGGGTGCACACATGGAAGTGGGATGGGGGGCGGTCTGTTACCATCTCTACCTGGAAGATGTTCTGATTCCCTGATATTCACGGAGAAGTTGCCAGCCTTGGAGCCTATGGAGGTCATTAAGGGTCAGGGGACAGTGACTCAGGAGCCCCAGAGCTGTGAGAGCCTTGGACATCAAAGCCTACTGGGATGCTGTTGTTATTCTGTCTGTGTGAACACTCTAGCTGGCACCTTGGGTCTTGTTATGGTATTGGAGTCTGTGTCTGTGACAGATGAATAACAGTGGATCTCATCTGTACCACTGGATCTGCACCCGTCCCTTCCCAATCTCACCTCTGAGAGTAGTTCACCATTTCTTATTCTTTTCCCAAGCAAAGCCTAGGAGAATGTGTGTACGGGTCCAAAAGACCCCCTCAAACTCAGTGGTCTGTGTCCCTTTTCCTCAGATGCCTACACCCAAGGTCTCCATATGTCCTTTTCTGTTTTTCAACCTGTTTACAAACAGGTGCAGGGCGAGAGGTTGCAGTAAATTGAACATGGTGAATATGTTGGAATGTTCCATGTCTCTGACCATCAAAAGTGAATGTGTAGACTCAGAGTTATTTCTTTAGGCCCTGACAAAAAAATCTGCATAAAAATCTGTGCTTTCCTTCTGGGAGAAACACGAGAGGGCATTGGTGCAGCCAACTGGGTGACACGCCTGCTTTGGAATGTCACCGTTTTGTGTTCAGTTGCAACGAAATACCACTCAGTGCACAATGTGGATTCCTTGGAGTTGTTCTACTGTGGATATTGTGTGGTGCCCCTGTGTCCTGTGCCATCAGGTGAATGATGTGGTCAACCTTGAGACATCTGCTTTCCTAGTTGCTTTGTAAAAGGTGCACTCAATAAACATTTTTTTCATATGTTCCGTTGCTTTTTTTCCTCCATCTCAAGAAAACAACCTAGCATATTGGTTCCCTGGCAGGGCTCCAGGGTCATCTGTCTGCTGGTGGCAGGTGCATGGGCTGATGTGGGGATGGAAAGGGGACCTGGTCCCATTCACTCGAATCCTAGGTGCATTCATTTGTTAGTTGAAAGATGCTAAGACATTAGAATGAACCTCTTGTGAGATGTACTGAAACCCACCATGTACCAGAGATTTATAGTTCTCTTGTGTCACCGTCAAGGGAACAAGTTCCAAAGGGTAAAACTTTGGAAAAGCAGATGGAAAGCTGAAAAGCTGAGGTTTGGGGTGTGCTTATGCTCTTTGGGGAGGAGGAAAGGTGGAACCTCTCATTCTATTACTTTTGTTTTCACAGTTAGCCCAGACAGCCACAGCCTGGGCCTCAGGTACTCATGACACCTCTTAGAACTAACGTACACACATACTGCACAGCAAGGCCAGGTATGCCAGGGGCTCACTATCTGCTGAATGGGAGGGGGCTTCAGAGAGGTTTGAGGCCATGCCCTATCCTCAGCTGTGTCCAAGGAGGGTCACCTGCCCTCAGTGTCTGCTAGCTGCCTCGGGGATAGAAGATATAATTTGGAAATAATCTCTCTATTGGAGAGCCAACATCTAGCAAACAAACAGAATTCTAAGGGGAAAAAAAGCTTGGGTTTGGTCTTCCAGCTTGCTTAGAGGACCAACCAACTTCTCCTACTTCTGGTTTTCAGAACAAGAAAAGGATACACAGTCACCTTACAGACATAAACAAGGCATGACATTCCCAGGGGCAGCCGAAACCCTTTATTGGAGCACCCTCCTCATGTCCACAGTCACTGCTTCCTCTCCTGGGCCTGAGGGGACCTGACAACCTGTAGGGGACGGGTGCTGGTTTATGCTATTACAGTACACGTGATTGCAAAGACTTGCAGTAGCTGCCTCTTAGCAAACCATCCTCCCTCAGGCTGGTCACTGGGGATCATTGTGGGGCTGGACAGAGCAAGGGCCCCCTGCACTTCCACAATGGGCTGCCTTTTCCTTCTTGTTTCACCACACTATATGCTCCTATCTTGGGGTGGTGGGCAGGGGTTGGGGGTGGGAGTCAGGGGAGGGCATTGAGAGTCCCTCAAGAGAGCTCTCTAATAGCCTCTGTGGAGCAGACCCATGGGGCTTGCCTGGCCTGACTCCTCCTGCCCAGTCATCCCCATGGCCCAGACTGAGTTTAGACCTCCTTCCTCAGCACCACCTTGATGTTGCTGCAGACCTGGCCCAGTGCAGCAAAGAGCGGGTTGCAGAAGGTGCGGATGCACAGTGAGTAGATGTGACTGATGCATTGGATCTCAATCAGGTAGCTCTTGATGCAGGGCACCACAGCCCAGATGTGGCAGAAGGAGATGCAGGCAAACAGGAATCCCCAGAACAGGGCCAGTGGCACACCCAGCAGTGTGGACAGCAGGCGGTAGCACCAGTACTTGGAGACAGTGAAGGTGGTGTAGCTCACTTTCCATACACCATCGAAGCTGTAGGTGCCCTCAGGCTCCGCAATCACATCTTCAAAATCTACCTGCAGGATGGGAAGGGGAAAACTCAGTTCACAACATACTGCCTATAGTATGTATGCACATGTGCATCAGAAACCCTTGGGGTGCGTGTTAAGCTCAGAAGGCTGGACCCCATCCTGGAAGGTCTGACTTAGTGGGTCTGTGTGGGCTCTGGGACTGCATCCCTAATGAGTATTCAATGCTGCTGATAATGCTCCCTAGCCCCACTGACTTGCCACATACTAGAACAGCAAGGTATTCCAAAGCCTGTGCAAACTCCTCATCCTGTGCATGGATAAGCAGACCCAAGAAGTTGAATGACTGTCAGAGGCAGTGCTAGAGACTTGATGTGGCTCCTTGATACTGTTTGGATCAGCAATGTTCCCCAAAGGCTCACATGTTCAAGGTTTGGGTGGTACTACAGGGATATGGTGGAACCTATAAGAGGTGGGGTCTGGAAGGAAGAAGGTAGAGCACTAGAGGTATGCTCTGGAGGGGGCTGTTGGACCCTGGCCTCCTCCTTTTCTTCCACTCCCTGGATCCACCCTGTATGCTACCATGCGCTCCCACCCTGATGTGCTATCTTACCACAGGACCAAAAGTGAGCAATTGACCATGACTGTGAGCCACAATAAACCTCTTTTCTTTATAAGTTGCCCATCTCAGGTATTTGTTATAGAGCTGAAAAGCTGACAAACACAGCCCTACATTTTATTATTTTATGACTCTAAAATAGTTGGAGGGCTGGAGAGATGGCTCAGTTTTTAAGAGCACTGACTTACAGAGGACCTGGGTTCCAACACCAGCACCCATATGGCAGCTAACAACCATCCATAACTCCAGTTCCAGGGGATCTGACACCCTCTTCTGTCCTCCATGGGCACTGCATGACATGGGTGGACTAACATACACGTAGGCATAACAATCATACACATAAAATAAATAAAAGAAATTGGACAGCCAGGAGCTGGGATATGGCTCAGTTGGTAGACTGCTTGTCCAGTATGCATGAGGCCCCAGGTTCAATCCTCAGGACATCATAAACCAGGCATAGTGACACATACCATGTCTGTAATCCTTGGGAGGTAGAGGGAAGAGGATCAGAAGTTTAAAGTCATCCTCAGCGATATAGAGCGTTCAAGGTCAGCCTGGGTTATACAAGTCCCTGTCTCAAACAATAAACAAAATGAAGTTGTATTGTCACATTTATCCCACAGAGATTTATGGAGCAGCTATGGACAGATGGTGGGTGACACAGTCTCCTGGAGCTAAGGCAGGCAGCAACATTATAGTGCTGGGCTAAGTTGAGGACAGGGGCTGTGTACCCTCACAGGGGCATTTAACTCTGACTGTAGAACTAGGAACTTCCTGGAGGAAGAGATATGAAGGTTAAGCTGGTATCTGAAGGTTGCCAAGTAGACAGAGGGGTGTGGGCTTGAAAAATGCATTTGGTGATGAAGAAGCAGAAACTTCCAGAAGCTAGTAGACTAGTCAGTGTGGTCCTTAGGAGATGTGGGTGCTTCCAGAAGGCCCATGCAAGCCCAGGGAGGCCAGCGTGATGCTGATGAGGAGACGCAGGGAGACTTCATAACACCAGCCTTTGCTGTTGTGGTGGGCAGGGCTCAGCTGAGATTAGGGTAACTCTTAGCTATTGCAGTTGGGCAGAGGGAGAGCTGGGATTGAGAGCAGATGTGGGAACTTGGTGGCACCAGGTTTAAATGGATAGTAGCAAGCTGAGAGAGATGCATGGGTATGGGCACTCTGGCCTGTGGCAAAGTAAGGTTCATTCCCAAGATGAATCTCTCTAACTATAAAGGTGACTGGAGGTGAGTGTGGCCCAGCCTGCCTGCAGTCTTGCGGAGGAGCTTGCTTCCTTTGCCCCATCCCTGCAGCGACCTTAGACCTCCCTCTTCCTGTCTTTATGTGGTGCTCAGCAACTTCACACATCCCCCTGAAAAGTAGACTGAAGTCTTATGTGAGGAGTGGGAAAACTCAATCAGTAGATGTTAAAAAATTAATTTTGGCCCGTCACTTACCTAACCTTCTAGGGCCCCTGCTGTGCACTGAGCACCATCACAACTATGTGCCTGTAAGTGATACCATTTAGCATGGCTACATCTTAGCTGTCTTTTCTATAAAATGTTCCAGTGTATCATGAGGATGAAAGGAGGTGGCAGGCTGTTCAGGTCACCAGACATGAAAAGTGCTGAATGAATGCTGAGCTCAGTGACTGGTGGGCCCATGGGTGCGACCAGTAGGTGTTGCCCCTTGGGAAGCTGTGGGGCAGTCAGCAAACAGAAATGTTTGTCTACCATTTGTATCTTAAGTGTCTCCAAGAAGCCCTTCCTCTATGGTCTTAGTTCCTATCAGGTGATACTACTGGGAAGTGGTATAATCTTTAGGAGGTGGAGCTTAGGGAGAGGAAGTGAGGTCACTGGGGGCATGTCCTTCAAAGGGGTTTTGGGGGATTTCAGCCCTTGCTCTCTCTGTTTGCTTCCTGACTTCCCTCCTCTGTCATGTACTCCTACTGTGATGAACTGTGATGCCACAGGGTCAAATGGTCATAGATGGGGGACCTCTGAACTGTGAGCCAAAACAAAACGTCTTCATTTTAACTTGGGACACTCGTCATCCTGGTATTTGTCATAGTGATGGAAAGATGACTAATACAATCTTAAACCCTTCTCAGATATTTCCTTTTTCTCAGTGACCCTGGGCCATTTAAGTAAAAGTGGGTTATTTAAATAAAAGACTCAAATGGTCATAGATGGGGGACCTCTGAACTGTGAGCCAAAACAAAACGTCTTCATTTTAACTTGGGACACTCGTCATCCTGGTATTTGTCATAGTGATGGAAAGATGACTAATACAATCTTAAACCCTTCTCAGATATTTCCTTTTTCTCAGTGACCCTGGGCCATTTAAGTAAAAGTGGGTTATTTAAATAAAAGACTTTCTAAAAAGAAGGGCCCATGTGAGGCAGGTAGGATGAGAGCTACCACGTCATATTCTCAGATCTCTCTTTTCATCTCTGATGTGGGGAGGGAATCCTTCCATATTGTTTGGACTTATTACTAGAACTGTTTTTCATTATAAAATGCATATTCACATTACAGAAAACCATGAGAATAGAAAACAATGAAAATAGAAACATCACCAGTTTATATTTCTCTAATAGTGGAAAGTATCATTGCCCTGGTAATCCCTTTCTAGGACAGTGCGTGGAAAGGGTGTGACTGAAGCCACTCTGTGTAGACAATCTTTTCCTTGTATGGCTTTAGATTCTGAGTTTCTGCACCAGGCTTCAGATCCCTGAACCCCCTGGAGCTTCCTGGCTGGAAAAGCTGAGGGGACGGTGTGAAGGGGGAGCAAAGTTTGTGAGGTGAGATTCCAAGCTACAGACTCTGTGGAAAAGGCCAATTTGGGGAGTTGATAGGGCCTCCTGGTCCCTCCCTATATAACATAATTAATTGAATATAAATATACACTACAGTATAATATATAATCTTGGGGGCTTCACTGGAAAGACCACCTTTTCTGTGATCCTACAGTTGGGAGGAGAGGTAGAACCTAGGTCTCGTCTTCTTGGTAAGCATGTTACTGATTTGAGAGTTTCCAGGACATGGAGTTTCCAGGGGAGAGTGTGGGTCAACTATGTAATTTAGAGTAAAAGGGAAAAGTTATCCCCTGGCTATTTGGATAAAGTCAGGTTGGGGATATCTTGTGATTTTGGAGAGAGGGTGGAAACAGAGACACCTTCTAAAATTCCTTTTTGTGGTGCTGGGGTGGAACCCAGGGCCTTGAACATGTAGGAAGCACCACACCCCCATCCCAGAGCTGGCATCTTCACCTCCGGTTTACATGGGACAAAATTCAAGAGTTCTGTTTTTTTTTCAGGGAGCTTCTGTGAGAATCCCGGGAGCGTGGGCCTAAGGACCCTTACAACCTTGACCCAGATTCATTCAACTTCCGGAATGGACTCTGCCTATGGAGAGTTCCTGACCTCGGTGGCCTCTCCAACTCTGTAGTGGCCAACACCCTTGCTGAGCCTCCTGGGATAGCTTGTAGAGACCCATGTGGCCTCAGGAACTCTTCCGGCAGAGAGAGGGATTTGGGTAGAGGCTTGCCTCCCTGCCTTTGTCCCATCAGTTCCTCCCCACTTTCCTCTTCTACTCAGCAAGTGTTGGCCCCTCCTCCTTTTCTTGTGACAGTCCTGGGAACAGAGCTCACTGCTGACAGGTTTCCCAGAGTCGTCCTCCTCACCTTACTGTGGAGCACAGGGACCCAGAAGTGGCTGTGCTGAGCTGTCAGAGAGGGTGAGCTCACCATCCTGAGTGAGATTTGGCTTTGGTGGGTAGATAGACCTACTCTAAGACAGAGCCCATGGTTCTTTCTCCCCATCACCCAGCTCTGAAGGTCATCAATTTCTGTAGCTCACCTTGCTCTTTAATCTCAGCCTTTTCCTTCACTTAATACACTTTTACTATTTAAGCTGAGCTCTGAAGTCACTTCTGAGCTTCAGACACTGTGAGGCTGCTTATTGGCTGAGTTATAGCTCAGCAAGTTATTGAGCCACTAAAGGAAGTTTTGCCTCTTCCTCTTTCTGTCTTCCACTTCCCCACCATGATGTGAATGACTTGTTCTGCCATGTGCTTCTGCCATGATGGGCTGTCTCAACCCAGGTTCGGAGCAATGGGGCCAACTATCATGAGCAGAGACCTCCAAAACTGCGAGCCAAAACAAACTTGTGCTCTTTATAAGTTGAACATCTGGAATACTTGTTACAGTATCAGAAAACTGAAACAGCTGTTGCTGGAGGTGGAGACTGTAGCAGAGTGCTTACCTCAATAGGGGGCTAGCCATGCCTGTCATCCCAGCCCTAGGGAGGCTGAAGCCCAGATGGGTGGGTTTGCCAGATTTCTTAACCTCTGAGCTTCATTCCCTCCTCTGTAAAATAGAGTTGCCATTTCTTATTGGTGTGAAGAACCGAGATAATTTTTCTTACATTTACTCACCATCCATA